TATATGTAATATATATAAATGTTTGTGTCCTTATATTTATCATAGGCTTTTTTTGTGTGTACTGGGGAATCAAACTCAGGACCTTGTACTTGCGAGGCAGGCTCAGTGCCTCTGAACTAAATCCCTGGCCCCCTGTCATAGGTTTCTTATACTTGTATATCATATCATAAACTTGAACAGGGCTGGGGAGTTAGCTTAGTGGAGCCACTCCCGCCACTCAAGTGGAAGGTTCTGAGTTCAATCCCCCTTACCAGAAAAACAAAAACACCCCAGAAAAATTGAGCAACAAAATAAAAAATAAACTGGACTTAATCAAAATTAAAAACTTGTGCTTCAAAGGACACCATTAAATAGAAGAAAATAGTACCAAATTATGTATCTGATAAGCAACATTTGATCTAAAACTTAAAAAATTCCTATAGCTTAGTAATAAAAAAGAAAATAATCCAATTAAGAAGTGGACAAGGGATCTGAATAGATACTTCATGTTGCTCAATGTCATTAGTTATCAGAGAAATGCAAATCAGAAACATAATGAGAACTTTACCACAATGAGAGCCAATCACTAGGATTGGCTAGAATCAAAAAGTCATAAAAAAAGTCATATAATATTAGCAAGAATATGGAGAAAAGGCCACTTTGAAAAACACTTTGGCAGTTTCTCAGACAATTAAATTTAGACTTACTATATGACCTAGCAATTCTACTCATAGATTTTTACCCTAGAGAAATTACAATATCTACAGAGGAACTTGTAGGAATACTGTATTTGTAGCAACAGTATTCAAAATAGCCAAAAGTGGAAACAGATGTCTATCAACTGATGAATGGATACACAAAATGTGGTATATCAGCACAATGGAATATTATTTGAAATATCAATACATGCTACAATATGGATGAACTTGAAAACATACTAAATGAAAGAAACTAGTCACAAAAAAAACATATTGTATCTTTCCATTTATATGCAAGTCTAGAATAGAGATGTTTACAGAGACAGACTATATAGATTAGTGGTTGCTTAGGGCTGGGAAAAGTGGGTAGGAGCATAGAGATGAAAACTAAAGGAGAAGAAATTTTTTTTAGGTGAAAATGAATCTTCTAAAATTGACTGTATTAATCGCTGTGTACATGCTAAAAATATACTGAATGTACAGTTTAAATAGGT